ACCTCTAAAATTCTCGCTGGCACCATACTTCATCGATTGCCTGCCGCTAGTGAAGGATGCACGCATGAGAACGAGGTTAGTTTTACACGTGGTCGAGGTTACATAGACCATATTTTCACCCTTGGCCAAATTCTGGAGCATCGAAATTCTTTTCCTAGACTCACCATCCTTTTCTTTCGCTATCTGAAAGCAGCTTTCAACTCAGTCGACCACTCTAAACTCTGGCACTGATATTCCCTCATGGGAATAGGATGACCTAGAATTTTATTCAAAATTTGTGATCCTTTATACTGATGGCCAAAGCCGAGTCCGAGCTTACTGCACTTTTGCGCCGGAGTTCACCACAGAAAGCAGCGTTCGTGAGAGTTGCCCTCTCTCTCTCTTGCTACTTTGTCATAAATTTGATTATGGAAACAACCCTTTCCTCATGACAGGATAGTAGCATGGAGTTGTTCCAGGATGACATACTTTCTTATCTGGAGTATGCAGACAATATTGTACTGCTGAGTGAAGATCCAGCATAGAATGCTGCTGCAAGACTGGGTTGTTCCAGCCCTCAACTTAACTCTAACTGGGGAAGTAGTACAGAAAGTGGATAAATTTTTTTATTTGAGCAGCTATATCTCACCTGGTAAATGCATTACGGACAAAATGTTGGCTTGCATGCGGAAGGCCCGATTAGTATTTTTGTGAACTTGACACATCTTTGACGCCGACCAGATATCCGGTTGTCCGTGAAGGGTTGAGTTTATGCTGCAGCTGTTCGGTCAGTTCTGCTATACACGAAGAGACTTGGCCACTACGAAAACGGGATAAAGATAGACTGTCGGTGTTTGAACACCGCTGCCTACGCAGCAGTGCAAGAATCTGGTGGGGCATCCGGACGAACAGTGCTGAGGTGAGGCGCAGAGTTTTAGGTAACCGCGGTTGTCCACTGGAACATATGGCCTACCTCCGTAGATTACGTTGGTTGGGGCATGTGTTACACAAGTCAAAATAAGACCTGGTATGAGAGTATGGAAACCCTAACCAAGAGGCTCGGTCATATAGGTCGCGTTAGATTCCCTGGATAGGGATCTTGGGATCATTGTAATCAACACTGAGTGATCATTGTAATCAGCAGCTAGAGACACTGAGCGATACGGCTGAGTTTCGTAAACAGCAGAGTTTGTACATTTTCCTAATATCTTTGCAGCCTTAGTCTACTGTAATTCTCTTCTACTCTACTTTCAACTTGTTTGTCTTTTTCCTACTGCTTCATTCAAATGGGCAGCCAAAAGATAGCAACAAACGTGTAACAGCCTTGTGTTAGACCGGCAAGGATCTCCTACAAAAATCATTCATTTCTGCCACGCACATTTACACACTTTCAGGTATGATTTGAAGACCAACGATTCCATTCGTCTCATTGATCTAATCTTTATCGGAGCAATGGGCCCGCCAGGTGGTGGCAGAAACCCGGTCACTCCGCGATTTTTGAGACATTTGAATACGGTCACCATCAACGAGTTCGAGGATGACACGATGCGGACCATTTTCACTCGAATCATGGAGTGGCATATTTCAGTGCGGTAAGTTGTTCGACAATTGTGTCCATTCACTCACTCACTCACCCACTCACTCACCCACTTATTCACTCACTCATTCGCCCTCTAAATCAATCAATCAATCGCCATCGTGAGTCGTTTACATTACTTCTGTCAACATTGTCAACATTGGATTTGGTCAGCCTTCAGTAATCAGCTGATCGGGAGTGTTCTGCACACAACTGTATGACAAACATGCCGAGGTCAGTAGAGCGACCTTCAGTCGTATCGCAGCCGTGCGTTGATCAATGGGGCCGGCGCTCATTCCAGCCGTGACTCCTGCAGTCCGCTCGCCTATCAACCAAACTTACTCGGACAGCCTTGCGGATAAAAGACTGTGTATTTTTCAATCCCTTTGGTTAACAATGATTACGACTATATTAATTTGGGCAACCAGGAATCAAAGGCAAAATATGACTGTTAATGGCCTCTGTGGCGGGGATTTAACCCATGTTTGAATGTTTTGACGAGGTGAGTCCATGCACCCGGTGATCGTAGTCATGCTTGAACTAATCTATCTCGTTCTCATTAGGACTGCAAAATCAGCTACACAAGCATCAAACTAAGCCTTAAGCACCCAATAAGGTGGATTTTCAGGGTCGAGAGAGGCTACTGCCGTGGTTGCTACCATTCCATATCAGGTCTCCCCGTCCTATTTGAATTCTGGTAGCTACGATCAAACTATGATACAGTAGGGGGGGACGTGATTGGTCGGTGAACGGATTGCAGGAGTCAGAACTGAAATGAGCTCATAGAACCCTTCAAAGCACAATTATGACACTGCTGTAAGTTACTTGACTAACCTCGACCTGTTCGTCATTCAAACGCTCCAGATCAACTGATTAATTTGGGAAATTTCGCGCACGAGTTTTCCGTTTTACTGTAATCAAACCAAGAGGGTTCAGCACACGATTATCAAGATAAAATCAAGCAAATGTTGGTTGTAAGGCGGATGCACACCGGGCGCGAGAAGCTCAGCGGGGTCGAAATGAATGTGCAACGTGATTTTTCTCATTTTCTTCTCTTATTGGTGTTGTTATCGTTGATATACTGGTACCGTGCCTGTTCGCAAACCAGGGATTTATATAATCCCATCTAATTTTACACATATCCTCGTAACAAATTTGTCTTGATTCCTCATTTTGAAATGATGAAAGTGAGTATAATATTCGTATAGAGTGCATGTGTTGATCTCATTTGCACCGTGCCCAATGCCCGATGCAGAAACAAAAGTGTTTTGGAGGTGCTAATGAGATTATCTTGAAAATGACTTTCAGAGGAGCAAACGAATGTTGTTGCCGACATTGTTCTATGGAGTTCATGTTAGGGGCAACTACTGGTGAACAATGACCAATGGTTATTGCCATACAAAGACTAGGTTCACTGCTCATAGATCCTCTAAGTGAGTGTGTAAAAAACAAGTCAACACGGACATGAAGACGGCTGGGTGTAGTCGTGCTATCAAAAAGATCCAATCCAAATGCGAAGAGATCAGTGGAATCGGTGTGTGATTCCACTGATAGCGCGCGCGGTGAACAGAACGGTAAACGCGTCTATGCGTGGGCTCGAATCCCACCGAGGCTACAGATCCTTACAAGATTAGAATAATCCAAAATAGTCGCGTATAGATCTCTAGCCAATCCCATCATATACGGCTTAAAAAACCAGAAATCAGAAATATTCTCTATACGATGTCTATAAGGTGAGACGTACACGTGTCTTGTAATCCGCAAAAGATTCCTCCAATAAAGCTGGGCATTGTTTGAAAATACAAACGGATTCCTGGTTTATTTTTGTATCTATTCGTTTGACGCACCATGTCTGGGCTGTCAAACTCTCTGCGAAACTGAAATCCGAAAACCACTTGATGGACCCTTGACGTGGCATTTTTTCACAGTTTACACAGTTTTACACAGTTTTCACAGTTTTCACAGTTTACCATATTTGTGTGTGTAAGATCAAACTGTTATCTCCCCACTTACCTTTTCTATCCTCTAGCGGATTCGGACCCGATTTTAAAAAAATCCCTACTCAATTTGTTGCGGCCACTCTGGAAGTGTATAAGGGGGCCATGCAAAATTTACTGCCGACCCCGGCCAAATCGCATTATCTATTCAATTTGCGTGATTTTAGCCGAGTAATTCAAGGTGTATTACTCTCTACCCCGGAGACCATGGATACCAATACAATACGACGCTTGTGGGTACACGAGGTATTCCGAGTGTACTACGATCGTTTGGTCGATGGAGCAGATCGTAAATGGTTTTTCGAATTCGTCCAACAATGTGTACAGGCACAATTGGATACAACATTTGATAATTTGCTCGCTCATTTGACCGGGGGTGAGGACAAGGTATGCCATGCCGATTAAAGCAAAACTAGTCGCGGTTTATTGATAGTCCTCGTATGTTGCTTCAGAATATTGTGTGAATGCACTGCTTTTCTGTGGGAATCTACAGGAATTGATTCTAATTGTTTGTGATGACAGTTTGATGAAATGTATAGGTCATTCAGACGCATGAATCTTTTTGGTTTCACTTCTGAATGTGAACTGTATAAAAACACATCTTCGATGTATAATCATCATACTCTATGTAATGTGTGTTTCTATTGATTAAAGTACATTACAGTGTGAATTCATGAAAACAAAATAGGACATCTTCTTTGAGTTACTAGTGAAGACGGTACTGTTTCGATCTTAATCTTTTTGAATTGTTCCAACATCCTCAGGTGTCGGAAGATCATTTGCGCTCGTTGATGTTTTGCGATTTCTCCGATCCACAAAGTGGCCGCAACTATGTTGAAGTCCGGGATGTGGAACGTTTACGCAAAGTGACCGAGGGATATCTGGACGAGTACAATCAATTGAGCAAGAAACCAATGAATCTGGTTCTATTCCGTTTCGCTATCGAACACGTGTGTCGCATCGCTCGCATTTTGAAACAGCCTCGGTCTCATGCTTTGCTCGTGGGTATCGGTGGCTCCGGGCGTCAATCACTCACAAGACTTGCAGCTCACATAAGCGACTTCGATCTATTTCAAGTAAGCAGGATTTTGTTTCTTATGTCATTGATTCATTTTTGACTTCGAACAGGTCAACACTGACCTATTGATCCTACCTATAACTTGTTATTGTTATCGTCCTTGCAAACGACTCTTCCGAGGTTCGGAGGGTCGTGGGTAGGCTATATCGAACAATATAGGAGTAAAGTAATCAGAAGCAGGTTCATACTGAGTTGTGCCGGTTCAGAAAGTCCGAAGCATGGAGGGGTATCAGTGTTCATGACCTGCAGAAAAACACGGTTAGTGCGGCAGGCCGGCAGATAGTTCGACAAAGACAGTCCACGCTAACCTGCATGTACGGACGCAAGCAACAAGTTAGATTACGAACAAACGCGATCGATCGGAGGACGATAGATACACAGATAAGCAACGAATCCGAATTGAGTACGGATTGTCACATGTGCACATTGCCGGTGGTTCAGTCTCGTCCAGCAAGACGTAAAGTAACCAATCAGAGGAGAGGGGGGATTTGTTAATGCGAGGGTATGAACCAAGGTTGAGGGTCATACAAATACGGTTCGGTCCCAACGCACTGCGGTCTATTAACAACCAGCCTTGATCGAGCGTTCATGCGTTGATCGCGACTGAATGTGGCGTGATGTGATCTACCAGACTTAATCGATCGGTGAGATATTTAGGGCCAATTCCCGTCTTGTTTAGCTAACAATATCCGCCAATTTTTTTCACCTGAAGACTTGTACAGCACACAAAGCATGTATTCCATCAGTGGTGCTGGAGAAGATGAATTGGAATATGCGAAAATACATTACGATTTGTAACCTCCACCTAATTGTCTATTGCATACAGGTGGAGATTTCCAAAAGCTACGGAAACAACGAATGGAGAGAAGATCTGAAACGCATATTACGAAAATCCAGTGAGACAGAAAATCATGCCGTATTCCTGTTCACCGATACACAAATCAAACATGAAAGCTTTTTGGAGGATATAAACAATCTGTTGAATGCTGGCGAAGTGCCCAATCTGTATCCACCGGATGAGAAAATGGAGGTGTGCGAGAAAATGCGCCAATTGGATCGTGCCCGAGACAGAAGCAAACAGACCGACGGATCCCCAGTCGCTCTGTTCAACTTCTTTGTTCAACGTGTCCGCGAACAGTTGCACATTGTGCTCGCACTCAGTCCAATTGGGGATTCATTTCGTAACCGATTACGGAAATTCCCCTCGCTGGTTAATTGTTGTACAATTGATTGGTTTCAAGTAAGTGTGCAGCGGGTTCGGATAAGCATGTTTGTGTAGCTCGAAAATACTCTCCCCTCGAAAGAGACAGTGGAATTTCTCCAAATGAGGTTACNGGGGGGAGAGGGTTAAAACTGAAAATTTGGACCGACAAAACCACGCTACAATCAGTTCACTTCAGGCAGTCAGTTTAGTTGTTGTTCATCGTTTACCCATTTACACAGGCGGTAAATAGAATTAAAACAAAGCTAAAAATATATAAATCAACCACTTGTAAGTAGGTGAATTAACATTGTTGTTT